GAATAGAATAGAATATAGAATATAGAATATAGAATATAGAATAGAATATAGAATATAGAGTATAGAATATAGAATATAGAATATAGAATAGAATAGAATAGAATAGAATATAGAATATAGAATAGAATATAGAGTATAGAATATAGAATATAGAATATAGAATATAGAATATAGAATATAGAATATAGAATAGAATAGAATAGAATAGAATAGAATAGAATAGAATAGAATAGAATAGAATAGAACTGGAAGGGACCTTGGAGGTCTTCTAGTCCAGCCCCCTGCTCAAGCAGGAGAACCTATACCATCTCAGACAAATGAATATACACTCTCCTCTTAAACATCTCCAGGGATGGAGTGCCCACGATTTCTGGTGGCAAGCTGTTCCACTGGTTGATTGTCCTCACTGTCAGGAAGTTTCTCCTCAGTTCCAGGTTGCTTCTCTCTTTGATCAGTTTCCAACCAGTGCCAGGTCTTGTTGGTTTTAATTTTTTTAATGTTAATATAATTTTACTACCATTGTTATGCAGCTTAACTTTTGATAGGGAGTTGATTATAAGATGGGTGGGCTACATCACTGTTTTAAACAAACAATGGTCATCAGTTGCCAAGGGGCAAGGGTTCCAAGAAGGATCAAATGGGTCCTTGTTGCTGGAACTGCATCTCAACGGGATCACCACCATCTTGGCTTACCTGTAAACCCTAAAGTCACAACGCAGAAGTCCTTGTACTTGTCATGTCCATCAAGCTGACCATCATACCAGGGTAGGTAGTCAATTCTAGATTGGTCTGTCCACTGCCAGTGGTGTTTCTGTAACGGAAGAGAAGTCACTTAGCCAATTGAGGAAAGGCCCAGGTCAGAGAGGAAAGTTTTCAGATTTTAAGAGGTGGACCAAGTAGAACATCTCTCTCTCTCCATCTCTCCCTCAATCTCAGTTGACCTGGAACACCTAAGCAGGGTTTTTTTCCATGGTGTTTTTACTTATGAATTAATAGCAGCTGTTTATCTTCTACTTGGCTCCCTGTATCATTATGCTGCTTGCATTGTCTGCACCGCCCAGCTACTCATGTTCTTACAAAACCCCCATTTTCTTTCCTCAAAGGGAAATTTTGCAGGCACCTGCAGAATGTTTTTCTCCCAGGTTCTCGTGCACCGCTTTTATTTTTCTTGTGGAGCAAACAAAGGTGAGGTTCAAAGAGAAAAACACCTCAACATGAAGACAAGGCTGCTCTCCAGTGGTTGAAAACCCTCCTCCTGGCTTCCTTCACCTCCTTGTTGCGGAGGCTGTAGATTAAGGGGTTCAGCATGGGGGTGACGATGCAAAACATGATGGAAATCAGGGTGTCGCTTTCTAGGGAGTAGCCAGAATTTGGGTGGTTGTAGTTCAGAAACCCATTTCCAACATAAAGAGTTACCACAGCAATGTGTGATGCACAAGTGGAGAAGGCTTTGCGTCTGCCGGTGCTGGAGGGAATCCGGAGAATGGAGGCCAAAATACAGAAATAGGACAGGATGATGAAGAGGAAGGGACCGAGGCCAACCAAGGTGCTGGTGATGTGATTGGCCAGATTGTTGACCTGGGTATCACTACAGGCAATTTTCAGTAGTGGAGGAACATCACACCAGATGTGAAGAATCTGGTGGTTTCCACAGAAATCCAACCTAGAGGCCAGGGCAGCGTAGATAGCTGAGTCCAGGAAGCCCCAGAGCCAAATGGCCACAGACATCTGGATGCACAACTTGCCCCTCATCAGGTGGGCATAATGCAAAGGCTGACAAATGGCAGCATAGCGGTCATAAGCCATGACGGCCAGCAGTGCCGGCTCACATCCCGCAAAGCCAATCAGGAAGAAGGCTTGTGCCAGGCATTGGATATACGAGATAGTCTGCTCTTGGCGTAGGAAGTTTGCCAAGATCTTTGGCACTACCACAGAAGAAAGGCATACATCCAAGCAGGAGAGCTGGCTGAGGAAGAAATACATGGGGGTGTGAAGATGGGAATCCAGGAGAACCAGGGTTATGATCATGAAGTTGCCCAGCAGAGTGACCAAATAGGCAGCCAGGAACACCAAGAAAAAATGGATGTGGTGTCTCTGGAATATGGAGAATGCCAGGAAGATAAATTCAATTTCCTGTGTTTGGTTGTGGGCATCCATGAGGAAGAACATAGACACCTGGGAAGAGATAAAAAATCTTCTGAAGAAAGCAGCGAGTGGCAATGGAGCCTGAAAAATGGATGGGAGAATAATACAGTAATTATTTGAGGAGAGAAGATGGGAGATAAGAAGAGGGAAAGTCAAGAAACTGCGTGGAGATCTGACTCCTCAGGTCTCCTCAGGATGAAGCTAAGTAAACGGGAGTCCAGGAACAAAAGTGAAAATTAAAACAAAACCATAGACTACTCTGAGGAGAAAAGGCAAAGGAGGCAGCAACAAGGAAAACTGGGGAGACAAAATTATTGATTGCCTTTCCTCAGAACCATTGTGAGGGAAAGGTTTCTGAGCCAAGAGTTGGAGTTGGAAGAGGAAAAGAATCAAGAAAGACCAGCCAAGAAAAACAACAAGAAGAAAAGATATAGAAAAAACGATCCAGTTCTCAAACAAACAGAAGAACTGAGATGGAAGGCAAGAAGTAGGAAAGTCAAGATGGCTGCCTTGGAGCTATGTCACTCCAGGCTACCTCAAGAAAAAGCTGAATGAACACAGCCAAAGCTATGGAGTCAAAGTGTAGGTTAAAACTAAAAGACAGATCACTGGCTGAAGAATTCTGGGAGTTGAAGTTCACCAGTCTTAAGGTTGCCTAGTTTGGAGACCCCTGCTCTACCCTATTGCACAGACCCAACTGTGGGAGGAAGCCTTAGGTAGAAGCCCATGAAATCAAAGATAGCAGGTAAAGCTGACTACACACCTTGATTCAGCAAATGTGGAAAAGCATATTTTGGATTCCTCATAGTCCTTTCCTGAGATCAGGGTCCCCCCATTTCGGAAGGGAGCTAGAGCTGCAAAAACATTTAGATGGACCTGAACTGAACCAGCAAGTTGCCGGCCGAGAACAGAAGACTTTCATTGCTTAGCTGCCACTTTGCAACCGGAGCTGGAAACAAAAGTTTTACGACTCTGGGACTCTACTCTGTGCCCAACAACGGGGGCCGGTCTCCCTGGAGCAGCTAACAGGAGAAGGGGTTGCTAGTGGGAATAACCAGCATTGACGAGAGAGAGTTAGCTACGGTAATTGGTCCAACTTTCTGGGATGATGACATGAGAGTTAAGGGACCTCGTTATGGGATTGTGTGCCCAAACAAGCACAGCACAAGGGGTGCAATCCGTTTCTCCGCCATCACAATCCATTTATAACAAATACAAGGAATTTCATCATCTCTGTTTTGTTACGAAGCAGCAATCAATTAATGACCCTCAGATTCATTTTCCAAAACACCTTGAGGGATTTCATTACAGACCCTCACAAGCCGCCCCTCTGCTAGAAATGTCCAGGCTGGGAATTAGGGCACTTGATGTCAAACAACAGGCTAGGGAATGGCCACCCCTTTTTAAGTTCATGTGAATTCTTTTTCTCAACATTCACACAACTAAACTTGTTTTCCTAATAGAGAGAAAGGGGCCAGCTGGATGGTTGGGTACATGGATGGATACACGGATGGATGAGTTGGTGGGTCAATGAGTGGATGGGTGGGTGGGTGGATGGATGGGTGGGTGGTTGGGCAGATAGATGCATGGAACGATGGAGGGATGAGTGAGTGGATGGATACATGGATGGGTGAGTTGGAGGGTCAATGAGTGGATGGATGGGTGGAGTAAAAATTTGCTTTTTCCACAAAAGCTACGTCAAACTTTGGGGAAGAAATGGTGGGCTGAAGATTGGTCCACAAAAAATGAAGTTGATGACTTTAGCAGAATGAAGAGCTGGTGAATAGACCGGCTCTTCAATATTTCCTCTCTGGACTAAGAGAGGACTTGAGATCACCCACAAGTAGTCCAGACAGTTGCTCCTCATGAAGAGACCACAAGACCACAGTCTCTATTTTTCCTTTTTCTCTTTTCTTCACCTTCTAATATTTCTTTCTTGTCCTTGTTTTTAATTTGCATTAATTTCTATTGTTATTTTAATGTTAAATGAAATTACTCTATAAAAAGACGCAAGAGCTAGCTACTCATGTTCTTAGAGCTAATCTCCATTTGTTTTATCATGGAAATGGTTTTGCAGGCACCTTTAGAAAGTCCTCCTACCACAGTTCATCTGCACAGCTTTCATTTTTCATAGGAGGGTCGACAAAAGACCTTCCTTGAGAAACATACACATTAATTCAAGTATCCTTTAGACCAGAGATTTTTTTTATTAGGGTCAATGGACAAAATTTCAGAAAAAGAAATCATGGTACATTAATCTTACATTTGGTTACAGCAGTAAAATTCCTATATACTCAACGTTGGAAAAATTATATGATACTGACAATGGAAGAGTAGTTAGTAAAAGTGATGGGACTGGAACAGATGGCAAAATGAATGGCTCTCATTAGAGAAAAGACAGTAACAAAATTTACTTCTAAGTGGAACCCACTGGTGGGCTTTTTACAAGAAGTAAAAAGACAAAACAAATTATGACATATGGATTTGATGATTAGTAAAAACTGTTGACCATTTGGAACGTGGATGCTATACTACATTGTAGTCCAAGGGCCTTCAAACTTGGAGGAATTCTGGGAGTTGAAGTCCACAAGTCATAAAAGGGCCAAGTTTGAAGATCCCTGTCCTAAACTAAGAGGCTGAATAAATAAACTTTGTAAAAAAAAGTTGGAAGTCTCTTTTTATATTTCTGATTTTTTTCCTTATAGTTGTTTGTTTTCTGTAATCCTATCCTCCCTCTTTCTCTTTATTCTACCTATCATTCTTTCTGGCCATTCTGTCTGTTAGGTTTTATCTTTATGTTGTATAAAAATGTAATCGTTATATTAAAAAAAAGGACCCTCCTCCCAAAATGAAGGCTATGCTCTTTTCCAGCCCTTGAGAAGCTTCCTCAGGGCCCCCTTCACCTCCTTGTTATGGACGCTGTAGATCAAGGGGTTCAACATCGGGGTCACGATGCAAAACATGGTGGAGATCAAAGCATCAACCTCCAGAGAGTATCCAGCACTGGGCTGGTTGTAATTCATACTCCCATTACCAACAAAAAGAGCTACCACACTAATGTGTGATGCACAAGTGGAGAAGGCTTTGCGCCTGCCGGTGTTAGAGCGAATTCGCAGAACAGAGGCCAGAATATAGAAATAGGACAGGATGATGAAGAAGAAGGGACTGAGGCCTACAAAGATGCTGGTGATGTGATTGGCCAATTCGTTGACCGAGGGATCACTGCAGGCGATTTTAAATAATGGAGGGACATCACAAAAGATGTGAGGAACATTGTTGTTTCCACAGAAGTCCAATCTACAGGCTAGGGCAACGTGGATGGCCGAGTGTAGGAAGCCCCAGAGCCAAATGGCCACAGACAGCTGGATGCACAACTTGCCCCTCATCAGGTGGCCATAATGCAGAGGCTGACAAATGGCAGCGTAGCGGTCATAGGCCATGACGGCCAGCAGGGCCAATTCACATCCCGCAAAGCCAATCAGGAAGAAGGCCTGGGCCAGACATTGGTTGTACGAGATAGTCTGCTTTTGGCGTAGGAAGTTCACCAAGATTTTTGGTACCACCACAGAAGAAAGGCAAACATCCAAGCAGGAGAGCTGGCTGAGGAAGAAGTACATGGGGGTGTGAAGACGGGAATCCAGGAGAATTAAGATGATAATCATGATGTTGCTCATCAGAGTGGCCAAATAGGCAGCCAGGAACACCAGGAAAAGGTGGGTTGTGTAGCTCAGCAGGTGGGAGAAACCCAGGAAGAGGAATTCGGTCACTCGTGTTTGGTTTTGTGCATTCATGGGGAAGAAAATGTACAGCTGAGAAGAGAGAAAAAGGCACGTGAAGAAAACAAAGAAGGTCAGTGGGCTTTGGAAAATGCACGGAAGAAGTAAAATTAGGGGTCCTTGGTACTCTTTGAGTTTGGCTGTTTCCTTGCAAGTGTTTCATTACCCAAACTAGGTAACATCATCAGGGCTGGTGAAATCACATCTCTAGCATTGATGATGTTACCTAGTTTGGTAATGAAATATCTGCAAGAAACCACCAAGCTCAGAGAGCAACAAAGACCGCATTGTCATTGTCATTGTCATTGTCATCCTCCTCCTCCTCCTCCTCCTCCTTCTCTCTTTCCTCCACTCTGCAAACCCCACTCCCTTCTAGCATTGATGATGTTACCTAGTTTGGTAATGAAATATCTGCAAGAAACCACCAAGCTCAGAGAGCAACAAAGACCGCATTGTCATTGTCATTGTCATTGTCATTCTTCTTCTTCTTCTCCTCCTCCTCCTCCTCCTCCTCCTCCTCCTCCTCTCTTTCCTCCACTCTGCAAACCCCACTCCCTTCTAGCATTGATGATGTTACCTAGCTGGGTCATGAAACGTCTGCAAGAAAACAGCCAAGCTCAGAGCACCAAGGACCCTTGATTTTATTTCTAAGTTACAAATATTCTCCTTTATTGGTTGTTAAGACCAGCTAAATGGCTCAAGCTTCTTTCTGTCATGGATTTCATTAAAAAAAAAAGGTCAACCCCTGGGCTAGAGGTGTGCCATCTGAAGTTAACCCCAAGGTGGACAATGCAGGTCAGATGGACCACTTAATTTTATTGAAAACAGGTTGCATTTAATCCCCTCATTTCAATCATGAGCTACTTATACTGTCTTCTTACAATGTCATTTTATTTGAGGTCTCCCTGGGAGGATGAAATTTTAGAGATCTCCTCCACTCAGTGAAGACCTAATTCCTCCAGATATTTGGATTAGAATTAGAGGCAAGAATAATTGGGTGTCCAGATCCAATGGAGCCGAGCTTAATTTTCTCCCTTCATTTATGGAGAATCCGGTATGCAAACTCTGAGGAACATCTCTTCCAAGCTTGATACCAGAACCAGATTCTAGACAAATGACTTACTGGGGGAAGAAGGACCTGGTAATGGGATAGCTTTGATTTTCCAATATTGGAACATTGCCCGTTTATATACTCCAGCTTCTTTTGCTATAGGAGAGGCAAAGGAACTTGAGGGGATCCAGATCCAAGATAGTTAAACCAACAAAATCATGGAATATAAGTCCAATATGGATTGTACATTGATGTTAGTTGTGATAGCCAGGTATATATGTAAGTTTCCAACTGCTAGCTTTCAACCAGGGAGCTGTTTTCTCCATTTAATGTCTACATTGGGAGCAGCAGTTCAACCTAAGAAGGATGGGAGGGGCTGGATAGGTAGAAAATTACAAGTTGTGAGTCTCACGCAGAGAAAGGAACTGACCACTTCTATGAGTCCCTAGATGGAGATTCCTGGGTCCTCCTTCTTAAGGGACAAAATCTCCTTTTAATGCCACCCCATCCCAACGGAAAGAGAATCCTTGATGGACCCCAAAGCAGCTCACCTTGGCTGGTTATCCCACCTGCAGAAGACCAGCTACGGCTGAAGTAGACTCATCCTCTACCCAAGTTCTCCCATAGTTCAATTCAGTTGCAATGAAGTGGGAGCCAACACTCTGGCAACAGAGCAGGAAGGGAGGCGTTCGGACATTCATCCTTAGAACAGGGCAAGTCTCATAGTTGCTTGTATTATCCATGGCAGGTGGTGCCCATGGGGGAAAATGTGACTTGGCATAAGGTGGGGGGGGGGCTGGGAGTATTCCTGCCTGGGATCCTGGAGGGAGTACAGGTGGGAGGGCAGGCAGCAAAGATCCTTGGGGGCAAAGCTGACTTCTCTGGGACTTGTTAGCAGGTACAGAACAGTTTTCTGGTGTTGGATTCAGGAGACGGGGAGAAATGAAGAGGGCAAAGCATAAGAATCTTTTTCAGTTTTGAACTTGAAATCAATTGTCACATTTGCTTTTAGCTGATGCTCTAGAAATGACTTCCAAGAGCATTTAGAAAAAACAAAAAAGGCACATATGGATGCCAGATTAATTTCACATTTGACTCCTTCCCCTGGCTTGGCCAGTCTCCTCTCTCTCCTACAGCTAGGACACTTTCTTATGATGACATTTAATGATGCCCAGCTGGACTTTGTAATAATAAGGCTCCATGGCTATATATGCAGCACTCCAGTAGAAGGCTAGTTTTGTTAAAGGCATCAACTCTGGGAAAAATACTCTTCTTTCCTGCATAAAGAACTTGTGCAGGTGCCAGAAGGATTTCAGAGTGAGCAGAGATTGTGAAGGGAATACAGGACACAGTTACACAGCGATTTCAGCTTCAGGAAGACTTATTTGTACACCGTTTATGCTCTTTATTTTTTTTTATTTTTATTAAAGTACCTCTACCCCAGTTCTCTTTTATCCTTCCTAAGTGCTCAGAGACATGAAGTACAGCAACCCCTCCCCCCTCCCACAAATTAATACAATGCTGTCTTCTGGCAGCGGAGAATCTTCCTCAGAGCCCCCTTCACCTCCTTGTTGCGAAAGCTGTAGATCAAAGGGTTCAGCATGGGGGTGACGATGCAAAACGATGTGGAGATTAGAGTATCAGTCTCAATGGAGTAGCCAGCACTGGGCTGGTTGTAGTTCAAGTATCCATTTCCAACGCAGAGAGTTACCACGGCAATGTGTGATGCACAAGTGGAGAAGGCTTTGCGCCTGCCAGTGTTGGAGGGAATCTTCAAAATAGAGACCAAAATGTAGAAATAGGACAGGATGATGAAGAGGAAGGGGCCAAGGCCCACAAAGATGCTGGTGACGTGATTGGTCAATTCATTGACCCAGGAATCACTGCAGGTGATTTTCAGTAATGGAGGAACATCACAAAAGATGTGAGGAACATTGTTGTTTCCACAAAAGTCCAACCTACAGGCCAGGGCAACATGGATGGTGGAGTCCAGGAAGCCCCAGAGCCAAATGGCCACAGACAGCTGGATGCACAATTTTGTCCTCATCAGGTGGGTATAATGCAAAGGCTGACAAATGGCAGCATAGCGGTCAAAGGCCATGATGGCCAGCAATGCTGGCTCACATCCCGCAAAGCCAATCAGGAAGAAGGCTTGTGCCAGACACTGGTTGTAGGAGATGGTCTGTTCTTGGCGTAGGAAGTTCACCAAGATCTTTGGTACCACCACAGAAGAAAGGCAAACATCCAAGCAGGAGAGCTGGCTGACAAAGAAGTACATGGGGGTGTGAAGATGGGAATCCAGGAGAACCAGGGTTATGATCATGAGATTGCCCATCAGCGTGGCCAAATAGGCAGCCAGGAACACCAAGAAAAGGTGGACCTGGTGGCTCAGAAGTCTGGAGAAACCAAGGAGGATGAATTCTGTCCCTTGGGTTTTGTTCTGTGAATCCATGAGAGGAGGAGGAGAAGGGTTAGCTGGGAAGAGAAAATTGGGCAAGGGAAGAAATTAGAATTAACAGCAGAGTAAGATGAGTTAAATGACCACTAGGACTTCATTTCCCCAGAGGTCAGATTGACCTCCCCACACACACCTTGTTCCTGTTCCTCAAGACCTTGAAGACAAGCTTTGGTCATTGGGCCAGGGGTTCCCATTCAGAGCCCATCAAGTGGCTTGCTTGATTCTGTTGTCACTGGGGTGGTGATTTACACCGTGAATTTTAACTCTGGATTTTTAATGTTGTGTGCCAGCTGGAGCCTGTCCGTTGGGAGGCTGTATCCATTTGAAAAATGAAAATAACTAAGTAGATTTGGAGTGCAGGAGCAGCAGAGCAGAATTTAATTCTCTCCCTGCATTCCAGAAAATGATTGATACGTGGAAAGGGGACCAAGAGGTGTTGTGCTTTGCTTTGTAGAAGTGTTTCAGGAGAGTTTGCTTTCCAGGTGGATGGAGATGTTAGAGTAAAGGGGCTCCATTGAAGACACCTCTCGCAAACTCAAAAGCAACCCCTTCCTCTTCATGTTCCTCATCAGATATTATGTTGATGCACAACATTTGTCTGACCATGGAGGTTCCACCTTGCTACAATAACTTATAACAATATGAGGGTCCTTGGTGCTCTCTGAGCTTGCTTGTTTTCTTGCAGATGTTTCATCACCCACACCGATGGTGATGTTTCATCACCCACACCGATGGTGATGTTATCCATTCAGCCATGTCCAACTTTTGGGGGCCAGGTCCCTCCACATCTTCTGATCTCTCACTCCTTTTTTGTACCCAAACTAGGTAACCTCATTTTGGGTCATTAAAATGTCTGCAAGAACCACCAAGATCCGAAAGCACCAAGGACCCTTCATTTCAGACCTAAGCTACAAATATTCTCCTTTATCAGTAGTATCAATATATAATCATTAGTTGACTTAGATAACATGCCGATGGTGTCGACTGGCTATTTTGAATCTGGAACCCTCCGTTCCCTCGTCTGCCCATAGCAAAAGAAGCTGGAATGTATTCCTGACAGTTTCCAGTTCCTAACTTCCATCCAATAGCTGTTTTGTCAAATCAAAGTCTATGTTTGGAGCAGTGGATAAACCTAAGAAGGATGGCAAGTGCTAGATTGGTGGTGATAATATATTGTGGTGGATCTTGGGCAGAAGAAGGACTTGGCCACTTCTGAGATTCCCTAAAAGGAGATTCCTGGGTTGAATCTTGTATTCCCGATCCCTCCATTCTAACACCCAAAATCTCCTTTTAATGCCACCCCATCCCAAACAGAAGGAGAATCCTTGATGGACCCCAAAGCATCTCACCTTGGCTGGTTATCCCACCTGCCGAAGACCAGCTGCAGCTGAAGCAGACTCATCCTCTCTCCAAGTTCTCCCACAGTTGGGTTCGGATGCAATGAAGTGGGAGCCAACACTCTGGCAACAGAGCAGGAAGGGAGGTGTTCGGACGTTCATCCTTAGAACAGAGCAAGTCTCGTAGTTGCTTGCATTATCCGTGGCAGGGGGTGCTCGTGGGGAAAAATATGACTTGGCACTGGGGCCTGGGAGTATTCCTGCCTGGGATCCTGGAGGGAGTACAGGTGGGAGGGCAGGCAGCAGAGATCCTCTGGGTCAAAGCTGACTTCTCTGGGACTTGTTAGCAGGTACAGAACAGTTTTCTGGTGTTGGATTCACAGGATGGGGAGAAATGGAGAGGGCAAAGTAGAAGAATCTTTTCCAGATCTGAAGCAGAAATCAGTTGCCTCATTTGGTTTTAGCGGATCTTCTAGAAATCAGTAGAACTAGAGTACTTACTCTCTCCCTCCCTCTTCTGGAAGGCTATTTAGGTGGTCCTCAAGTTACCCTAATTAGCTCAGTGAAATTATGATGGTGTTATAATGTTATAGAATCAAGATCACATGATTACTACTACGCAGCTCCCCCACCCATTTTGTATGGCAGACTGGGATCTGGCAAAATATAGCTGGTGCAACAGGATGAATGAATGAATGAATGAGTTAATGAATATATTGTTATTGTGTATCTCACAACAAAATTAAGTGCTGTCTGCAGTGCACATTACACACAAGTAAAAACCACAAGTAAATACATACATTATATACACACATCTTGGCAGTCCTGACAGTGTTTTTCATGTGTCTTTTCAGTCCTGAATATATTCAGGAAAAACAAGATGTCATGGTTCCGAAAGAAATAACTTTTCAAAGAACTTTGAGGCTTAATTACCTTAAAGAATCCTTTAATAGATTACATGATTTGGCACGAACAGAGGAAAGCCAAGAACTGAAACACCCCCAACCCTAGCTCTCGTGACAAGCACAACTCCCTCCCTCCTTTCACAGTCATCAATCATATGCTCCAATTAATTTAAAGTGTGAGTCGTTCCCCGTCTATTCTCTGTTATTGCGCTCTGCTGTTACTTTGACCTTGGCTGTGCTATGCTAAGATAATGTTATTATTCACAGGCATTCCTCCCCACTCATATGGCCAGCAATGTCTGCTTTAACCCTTGAAGTGATATGTAGGCTAAATAAGATATGTTTGCTTCTTCACATATGTCGAGCAAGAACATCCAATGTTAGCAGACTTGACACAACACTTGGGTTCTTGATGTCCCAAGAAGGACTTTAAAATTATCTTTGCACCTTCTGAGAAGAATCCTATATTCTCCTTCGTCTTTCCAGGACCTTCCTCAGAGCCCCCTTCACCTCCTTGTTGCGGAGGCTGTAGATCAGGGGGTTCATCATGGGGGTGACAATGGAATACGTTGTGGAAATCAGGGTGTCGGTCTCCAGGGAGTAGCCAGCACTGGGTTGGTTGTAGTTTAGCAATCCATTCCCGAAGTAAAGGATGACCACCAGCAAATGAGAAGAGCAAGTGGAAAAAGCTTTTTGTCTGCCTGAGGTGGAATGGATACGCAGGATGGATGCAAGGATGTAGAAGTAGGAGATGACCACCAAAAAGAAAGGGGTCATTCCTGCAAATATGGTGGCTATGTGTAAGGTCATCTGACTGACGTGTACGTCACCACAGGCAATTTTCAGCAGGGGTGGAAGGTCACAGAAGATGTGGCGGATCTGATTATCTCCACAGAAGTCTAACTTGGAAGCCAAGGCTGTGTGAACTGTTGAATCCAGGAAGCCCCAGATCCAGCTGATCACAGCTGCCTGCATGCAAAAGTGTGAACTCATGAGGTTTGAGTAGCGTAAAGGCTGACAGATGGCAGCGTAGCGGTCGTAAGCCATGATGGCCAGCAACCAGCATTCTGAGCCAGAGAAGGCCATCAGGAAGAACATCTGGGCAAAGCAGTGGTTGTAGGAAATGGTGTGCCTTTGGAGAAGGAGATTTGAAAGGATCTTGGGGACCGTGACTGTTGAGTAGCAGACATCCAAGCAGGATAAGTGGCTGAGGAAAAAATACATGGGACTGTGAAGATGGGAGTCCACCAGGATGAGAGAGATGATCATGAAGTTGCCCAGAATGGTGACCAAGTAGATGATGAGGAAAAGCAGGATGAGATAGATCTGGGCATGTGTGATGTTGGATAAACCCAGCAAAAGAAACTCACTAGCAAGAGTGTGGTTGCTGAACTCCATGACAATGCAGGGATTGTACTTAGCAAAGATGCTGAAGGAGAGCAAAAAGAAAACTGAATGAGGGGTATTTTTTTAACGTCCACATATGCACCAATTTTAAAAAGCAGATATTGTGGCTTGTCTCCTCAGGTTTTGTTGTGGATTAAACAGTCTACAAAATATAAATTGTACACTTAATTAAAATTCACAGAGCTTCTAAATTACTATTTTTTGCTCCTATAAATTGAAACCTTTGAAAGAATTTGTTGTTCTGGCTCAGAATGGATGCTTGTTTTAAGTTCTGACTTGGATTGGCTTATCCTTCTGAATAAAAAAAAAGTCACAACAATGAAAAGTTGAAATACTATCATCCAATAGGAAGGAAGGAAATACAAGCAATCTTAGCCATGGTTTCCATCTGCAGCTGGGGACTGACTTGTGGCTTAACAGGGTAAGATTCAAGTGAGCTTGGACAATTTCAGAATGTATGGCTAGATCAGGATGGAGCAACATCAGAAATTCCCAGGAAAGTCAAGGAAGGTCTTGGGTTTGGCTAGTCTAAAGAAAAGAAGAAATAGGGGAGACATGATAGCAGTATTCCAGTATCTGGGGGGCTGCCACAAAGAAGAGGGGGTCACAATATTCTCCAAAGCACCAGAGGGAAGGACGGGAAACAATGGATGGAAACTGATCAAGGAGAGAAGCAACCTGGAATTAAGGAGAAACTTCCAGACAGTGAGGACAATCAACCAGTGGAACAGCTTCAGAAATCATGGGTGCTCCATCACTGGAGATTTTTAAGAAGAGACTAGACAGTCACTTGTCTGAGATGGTATTGGTTCTCCTGCTTGAGCAGAGGTCAGAGATGAGATGGTATTGGTTCTTCTGCTTGAGCAGAGACCACCAGATTCTATTCTATTCTATTCTATTCTATTCTATTCTATTCTATTCTATTCTATTCTATTCTATTCTATTCTATTCTATTCTATTCTATTCTATTCTATTCTAGAAGGCTAAGGCAGAACACTATATCAGAGAACTTGGTGGAGAGATTGATGTGGAAAACAAGTTCCATGCTAGGACATTTTAGATCAAGACTTGAGAACACCTTCCTCAAAATGTCCACCCCTCCTAACAACCAGTTACCATAAACTCTCCTGGAACTATAGAAGGTGAATAAGAAGTTACCAAGCACCTGGGCACAATCACACAGATGTCTGCCGCTTAGTCAAGACCAATCTTGGCCTGTATGGAAATGTCTAAATAGACTGCACACCAGTTAGGAAGATCAAAGGACAATCGATTAAAATGGAGCTTCCCTACAGAAGATGCTCTGTGTGAAGGTGGAGAAGAACTAACCATCTCACATACGCTG